AGAAGAGAGTGGTGGTGCCTTTTTATGTTTGACCCTTTTTTTTTTGTGAGCACATAAAAAAATCCCTTGTGCGCCATAAGGATTCAAACACAAGACCTAAAGATAAGCATCAATAGAAATTGCCACTAAGCAACTAGAATATTTTGACAAATCTATCCCAACATTAATACAAATACATTCAAATTATCTAATTATAAATTTTAATTTACTTAATTTCCCTGAGTCATTACATTATCTAATCTAGTTTTCAAGAGTTCAATTCTAGTTAAAAGTTATTTGCAAACTTCTTGTAACAAAAATATTTATTAGCTGGTTTAAATTGCTGTAAAACATTTCATTTCAACTTTTTTTGCTCAAATTTTGCAAAAATTTGTTTAGTTCAAAAATTTGCTAAACACCCAATTCACCCTTGGCCTTCTCTTGGGTGTTATTGTCTAATCTTACATAAATCCCTATTTCCACTAATTAAAGATGAAGAGGAAGGTAGATATAAGAGTTAGAAATTACTTACTAGATGTTTGGGAGGCTCAAATCCATGCTCTAAGGTCTCAAATCCTCAAGCCCCCCTCCCTCCTTTCCTCCCTGACACTTTGTAATAATGAATCACTTTTTTAATTTTATCCCTTCTTGATTAGTGTGAATATACTTAATATAATTAATTGTATTATCATTCAAAGCTAAGAGTAAAATGAAAGTACATATCAATTTTTTTGTTGAAATAAAAAAAAACTTACTTTTTTCAGATGCATACAACGGTTAAAAGTATCATATAATAAGGACATGAGGGAGTACTTCTCTAAGAATTTCATATGGATGTGAAATTGCCTATCAAGCTTTACCCTAACGGTGAGGAAGCCATAAGTATATATCATAATCTATTCAACTTGATAGAACAAAGCATGTTGAAGTGGATTGACATTTCGTTGAGGAAATGATTGAAAGTAGAATAGTACGTCTAATCTATGTCCCAACAAAGAAGACCAAGGGAAAATTTTATAAATAAGTTGGACATGATAAAATATTTATGATCAAACTTGAGAGAGTGTATAAAAATATATTTTCTTTTTAATCAATCTCTCAAGTGTACTGTAATGATCCAAAAATTAAAAGAATAAAATAAAATTAATTTATTACTAATTAATAAGATATTTTAAAGTTATATGTTTATAAATTTTGAAACAAGGATAGCAAGCGACGTTGCTAGTCTAATAAAAAGTTTGTCAGTAGCTTTTTCTTCCTGTTAGAGTTCAAATCTTTGAAGTGCAGCGGAAGAACTGCCGTCCTGCTTCAGTTTTTTCGATGAAATTACTGAAATGCCCTGTAAAAAAAAAAAGAGAGAGAGAGAGAAGAAGAAGAAGCACACTATATTAGATTTTTGTTCTCACTATTCTCCATTCCCATTACCGAACGTTCTAGAACCAAGGAGAGCAAAAACTAAACCCATCGTCCTTCTCTCCCTCCCCCAATTTTTTTTCCTATCTGGTTCAACGATGTCGGTGTGGGTGGAGCGAGATTCTTCGTCCTCCTCCGTGCGAACAACTGTGTAGGTGCGTTGAGATTTCGATCGTTCTTCCTCCCCTGTTTCTTCTCTGTTTGTGCGTTGCTGTGAGTGCTGCTGCTGGTTCTCTCTTCCATCGTATTTCTTGCTCCAAGTGCGTTGGTCTCTCTCCCCCTTCTTTCTCCATGTTCATTGATCTGCGCTTTCATCTTCCTCTTCCTTCTAGACGCTGCTGATTGAGGTGAGGAGTTTTGGGCATTTCTCCTTGTTCATTTGTGCATGTGCGTGTGGTGTAATGATTGAAGTTTTAATCTTATTCCCCTTGTGCTGTTGTGTGCGTTGAATGGGGAGGGAAATGGATTCAAACTGAAAATTGTAGTCTTAAATGCAAGATGAGGATGGCTGATTTGGTTTTATTTGAGAAAAAGAAAATTTAATTTTTGTTGAAGGGATAGAATTTGGGAGCCGATTAATTCAAAGATTGATATGGAAAATTTATTCATTCATTCATTTTGAAATTGGAATTGAAGAGGAAAAAATTTGGTATTAGATTCAGACTTAATGCTTGCAAGGTATTTGATAAAAGTCCTGTTAGGAAGAGTTTTGCTTGATTATATATTTTTTTAAATTTCATTAAATCTTATAAGAAATATAACTAATTTGGATGATATTTATCTATGAAAGTAGTTGATTTTTTGAGAGTTGTACGTTTAAGAATATATGAACCTTGGTATTTGTTTTATGACTTATTTTTGGAATGCATTTAAGGTGTTTGATAAAATGAATACTGAAATAATTATAGATTAATAGAGCGATTAAGGATGGTGTACACACACTCTTGATTAAATAATTACCTATGACTAAAGTATTACAGAGGAACTTTGGGATGTAAATGATGGTGTTTGGGAAAGCTTTGAATTATCTAAATTTATTATGATTGTGTTAATGTTGGAAGGGATTTTATTGAAATTGTAGAAAGTCTATTGAAATCTTATTATGTCTTATAGGGTGTTGGGAAGAAGCGAGACTTGATAGGAGTTAAAAAAGTAAATTTTTGAATTTAGAAACATGACAAGTAAGTGAACAGCGTCCCAATGATTTATTAATTAAAATTCATTTTTTTTACTAAAAATATTGATTGAGCATATTTTCATACACACACATGATGTTATGATTTTTATTCTATTATTGATATTTAAAGGTTAAAGATTTGATTTGATTTTATTTATTTTTCAATATCCTGATTACAAATATCCAAGCATGAGAACTTGTGTCAAAAAAAAAATTTCATGATTAATAATATTCTTTTTATGAATGTGAATATTTAAAAAAAATGATGATATGGTGTTCCATCAATAATTGGATTCCATGCATGTTTGAAAATCTTTTGGTGGAACTGGATATAGAACGCTGATTCCTAATAACAGTCCTATTAACCCTTGGCGCGCCATAGTATAACTAACTATTAGGGTGTTTGTAAGAGGTGTTGGCATTGTGTGCGGGGCAATGCATGTGGAACGGAGGATAGATATTTGTGAGTATCGTACTCATGCTTGTTTTGTGGGCTTCTAGCCTGCGCTTGTTTCATGGCTTCTATTCGCACTTAGGGTGAGCAAAACCGAACCAAAACCAAAAATCAAACCGAATTGAATCGAATTTTGTCTATTTGATTTTTTGATTCGATTCGGTTTTTTTATTTTAAATATTTTGATTGATCGGTTTGATTCGGTTAGTAAAATTTAAAATCGAATGGACCGAACCGACCGAATTACATATAATTTGTTAATTTATAAATTATATTTAATTTATAAATTATTTTATTTTATTTTTTTATTTTAATAAAGAATAAAAAATAATAACATCACTTGAAATCCTATTTCGGTCAGTCACTCTCATCAGTAGGTGTTGTGACTGGATTATGGGGCCATTATTTGATCATCGGTGTTTATTTGTGGTTGTTTATTTGATTATCCATGCCTTTATAATATTTGGGCTTTATGTCATATGGGTGTAATTAGAATGGGCTCATATTGAAAAAAACGAATAGAAAAAAGGCTCAATTTTGTAGTATTGTTTGTTTTAATATTTAAAAAATGGTCCCAATTTCGATAGCCCAATATGAAACCAAAAAACTGAATTAACCGACCGAACTGAATTGTCAAATTTCGGTTCGATCCTTGTTCGGTTCGATTTGATTTTCATTCTCAGTGTTATTTGATCGATCGGTTTTGCATTTTTTGGGATTGAATTGAACCGAACCGACCGATGCTCATCCCTATTGGCATTTGATTATTTTGTGGCTTCAAGCCACGTTTGTTGGTTATTTACCTTTATGGACTATGTGTCCATACTTGGTAATTATTCTGGTTAAGTCCCACTAAACATTTGAATTTTGAAACTTATAGTTTGTTCAAAATGATATTAGTCAAATGAGTTGTATTTCTTCACATATAGATTTCATAAAGAGTTTTATATTTAATAATTGTCTAAAATATATATATTGTAGTATGAAAATGAGATTTTGATGCTATGTCATCATTATTTAGATTCATACATATATGATTCACATATTTACATAAAATTATGTGATTTGAGGTATGAGTTTTTAATTTGTTTTCAAATAGATATTCCTATTAAATTCTTGATTTTTATATTAGCACATTTTCTCTTTATTTTCTTTAATTTTAAATTAGGATGTTATTCATTAAAAAATATTTTGGCCTCAGATAATATCGACACTTAAGATCTTCTATTGATTATCGAAAAAATTTATCGTTGAAGCAAAGTAGACGAATATCTTTGGACAACTTTCAACTTAATTTAAATGTGAGTTTATGTATTATTTTTATAATATGCTTCATGTGCTCCAGAATAATTGTAGATAGAATCCTAAAATTGTAAATTATATTGTTTGTCTGTTATGAAAGAATATAGCTTAGTATTATTGAATTGATTATGTAAATGACTGTTTTGGAAATTTTAAAAGGACTTATTTATAAGAGAGATTTTGTTAGAATTTTTATAGGTTGGTTGGGATTATTTTGTTTGAAAGAAAGTGTTGCAATGGTTTCTAATTTTATTTCAAATACATTAAGATATTAAATTAAAATTTTTCTTGATAAAGGCTTACGGAATGTATGTTTCTGTATATATCTTATGCTGATCACCTTTAATTTTTGGAGTGTGACATGTACAAGATTGACTTTGTAATAAAATCTTGGAGTATAGTGAACGAGTTGGCCTATTTTGGGCCTTTAGTCAATTTCCCTTCGTTTCGGCCTCTTTTCCTTTATTTTCACAAATGAGCCACAAGTGAGATAATAGAACATAATTTCCCAAGTTTATTGCAATAATAATTCATTTCACTCTATAAATTTTGCCAAAATATAATCAAAATGGTGGCTTTTCTCTTTTATTGCTAATATTTTAAAACATAATGCTATAGACTCGGATGTGATTTAGCATTTGTTAGTCTTTATTTATTAGTCTTTAAATCCCTCAGTGTATATATTCAGATGTACCATGCCATATTTGAATCGATGAAAGATACATTTTCTCTCAAACTTCCGGAGTTCAAATGTTTCTTTTTTATTTCTTCAAAAAATGATGAAAAGAATTAGAAGACATAAATCGAGAGGAGATCCAAAGCCTTCAACTTGCCGTTCATCACTTTCTCCTTTTCCTGAGCGAAACCTGGAGACAGAGAGACATACATCACAACATTCCAAGAAAATCGTATCATAACATTCTCAATTGCTATTAAAAATACAAAGCTCCTTTATAGTTTTTCTTTTTTTCTTAGGCAATGAACCATCTTTATAGTTGAAGCTTTGATGTTATTCAACAACCCTTTTGCCAGCAGCAGCATCATCATGATCACTGTACACAAGATAGACTATAGTTTTGTTCACAATATATTTATGAGCAAAATCCACTCTAACTTCCACTTCATTTTCAGGCTCCAAATTAGATAATATCTTCTGCCGTTCTTCTTCATCAGATGTAGAAGTTTCAGAATCTCGTTTGTAGAAATCAATAGAAGCCTTTGTAAAATTCTTTATCATGAAACCAACAGGATATACAGATGCCGTGCTATTTTGCAAAGATGAAAAGAAACTGCAAATGACCATTCCTTTTAAGCTACGACTAACAACTTGAGTCACTTTAAATGATACTGAGGACCCTTTATCTTCAAAGGCTAGCCAATCAGAGTAATTATCTCCAGGGAGATAATAGTCAAGCCCTCTATCACTCCATCCCTATTCCATCAACACAAGAAAAGAGTGAACATATAAATAGTCACAAGTATGCATCTAACACATCTAAATTTTTATATAACTCTTACACATGTGTAAGTTGTTCTCTTAATTAATAATATTTCTAAAAGCTTAATAAATGATAGAGCACAATGGCGTCTTGCAATCCATGTAGCCGACCCCACCTAGTGGGATAAAGGCTTGTTGTTGTTGTTGTCTTACACATGTGTAAGTAGCGCTGGAATATGAGCTAATTAACTCAGATCATGAGTTAGCCCACATGAGTTGAAGAAAATATGGGCCAACCCAGTTTTATATGGGTTCAAAAAATCTCAACCCAATTAGCTTTGCAGGATGGTGAGTTAAATGAGCCAATCCACCAACCCATTTATTATTATTTATTATTATTTTTTTAAATTATACTTAAATGAGAAGTTCTATTATGATGTTTCATGCAATTTTTAAAAAAATTATATTATAAATGTTTGAGATTGATCAATTCTATTTTGATTTATTCCAAAATCTTGTCTTGTCGAGTTTTGGTGCTAAAAATCTATCCATTTTTTATTTTTTATAAAATAATTGGCTTAAATGGGTCAACTCTGATCCATCAGGATTAACTCATTTGGGTTACGAGTTATCTAGTCTAGGCAAAAATAAATATATTTTTATATGGATCAATATTTCTCCAACCCAACCAGACTTTTATAGCGGGGTATCTAAGCTAACCCATATAAACCAACTCATATTTTCAACCTATGAGCAAAGAATTTATAAACTAATTATGTGGGGGTGTACAGTGAGTGTAGTAAAGAAAAATCAGACAGTAATATTGGAATCATTTGATAGTAATTTTTTTTATTGCCCATTTAAAAGTTTGATTGGTAGCTAATGAGATATGGTGAATCATAAATTTGGTGAACATTAGAGAAATAAATTCATGAATGAAATTTAGAAACTTTATCTCATTATGCAAGTAATGTAAATTCAAATGCAATTTGTAAGGTCTCACCAATGTGTCAATACTAATCTACTAACTAGTAATAATGTCATGTTAACTACTTGTAGGTTTTAGCCACTTCTAACACGATGAATGCCAACTATCAGCAGCTATTAGTGATCTAAACAAGTTTTTTATTTCAAAAACTATTATTAGCACAATTATAATAATTGACCAAATGATGATATTGAAATAGACCAAAGTTTGTATGGTCAAGATGTATGGAGTAAACCAAGACTTGAGGGATAATGGCTATAACTATGTGCGTTTGAGAGAGAGAGAGAGAGAGAGAGAGAGACTTGAGGGATAATATGTGTGTAATTATTCAGATAGCAATAGGCAACACTAAGGTGCCTCACTCAACATAAAGGTTTTGAAAAGGGAAATGAACAGACAAAGGCAAAGGAAAAGGGGACTCTCAAAGAAACCAATAAAGAGCATCCATATGCATAGAGAAACAACATAAATACACTCCAAAATTTCCACACCCTACTCATTACACATCTCTTTATACAGCCATTATCTCTCAAGTCTTGGTTTTGCTCCATCATCTCCATCCCAAAGTTCTTAGCCCACCATATGTAGCTTTGGCCCATTACAATATCATTACATATATACACTTCATCATTTAATTTCTGTTCATCCCTTTTAGTGAAATCACCTTTATGTCTGTGTGTGTGATAAAAGTTCTATTGTGATATAAACATAATTTATGCAATGCTAGTAGTAATCTTTATAATGACTAAAGGCAAGTGGAAAACCTGGGAGATAATCTTCAAAAGTGCATCAATGACTTCGCTGAATCCTCCCACTTGTACAGTAATAAAAGAATTCAAGAAATTTGCAGTCTCTATAGTGTCAACTTGATCATGAAAACCAATTGATGTTAGAGCTGTTGCCCCTGAGATATGTAATGGATAAGGTCTTCTTCTCAATATTCCGCTGCTTAGGTGAGATAAACTACGAAAAAGATGTGGCAATAAAAATGGCATGCTTGCAAATACATGCTGAAGGGACCTTGAATTATTTCTTGGTGACACCCACGAGCGAATGAGAATTGGAAATACATCTCTGGGCAATCCTTCATGGCCACATATTGACAAATATGTGATGCTTCTTGATCTCACTAATGCCAAGGGAACTTGTGCTATGGAAGTTTCATTTGCCATTAGAGTTGTCAAGGATTCCATTTGGTTAATCCCATCTTCTAATTTCTCAAGTTTTGAACAACCAGACAGGTTGAGAGTTTTTAGAGATTTCAAGTTATATATACCTCTTGGCAACTCACCGAGATCTTTACAACCTTTCAAATTTGCCAATATTAAGAACTTCAAATCTCCAATAGATTCATGAATTGAAGATAATCGTGGACAATCTTTAAGTATTAGCCTTTCAAGATTTGGCAGTCTTGAAAAATCAGGCGTTTCTCTTAAGTCATAAGAATGACTTAAATTGAGAACTTTCAACCTCTCTAATAACTATAGAAAAGAAAATTGTCTTAGATATTTAATGTTCAAACATCTAGTTAGAACGGATAAAATAACATGCTGCTGCAAAAGCTAATATCATTTACTTTAAATTCTAGAAAGAAATTAAAAAATTACCTGGCAATTCTTCAATACTTGGGTTAGATAACTATATCTTAAGTCAATGACAACTGCTTTTTCTTGAGAAAAATTTTGGGGCATGCAACATGAAGGAAATCCATGCCAACAAAGCCATCGCAACTCCTTTGATAGATATTCATAATTGCCATTAAGTTTTACATGGCCAAGTTGAAGTAATCTAAGTCTCTTCATCATCTCAAATCCCTTCGCATCAAAAGATTGTGTTTCTGTCCTTGAAAAATTCAGTGCTAGTCCTTTAACAGATATTGTTCCCTATGAAAGAAGAGCAAGATGAAAATGAAAAGAAAATCTAGACAATTTGATAGAAAGCTGGTCCTTTATCAAAGAATTGTATTGTAAAGTAGTTGAGAAAATTCTTACCCTACAATTTCTTAACACATCAATCCCATTATCTCGAATCCATAATCTGCTACGATTTCCAGGTTCATCTGGTGACTCTTCACGAACAATCTCTCTTCCCATGTCACGTATTAAGCCATGCATATCAAGCTTATTATTCTTATCAACTCTTAAGAGGCTCAACTCTATGAGTCGGGTAATTCCAATCTCTGCATGAAGTCCACAACCATCTAATATTTGTGTAGCATAATTTCTATCCTTTCCAATGAAAAAACAACATATATCCAAAAATATATTTTTCTCAAAATCATTACTAAGACCATCAAAGCTTATTCTTAGCTTTTTATGTATTTGATCATTTGGAATTTCTTTTAGACTATCCAAAACACATTTCCAAGCTTCTATTGGTCTATCAAATAGATAAGCACCAAGAACTTCAAGAGCTAATGGCAACCCTTCACAATAAGCAATAACACTTCTTGATCTATCAATAAGAACTCCTGTTGGGCTTGCTTGTTTAAATGCATGCCAGCTAAACAGTTCAAGAGATTCATTACCATCCATTTCTTTCATCTTGTATACATTATCTGCTTTAATGCTATCAAGTACGCGTTGGTCTCTAGTAGTAATGATTATTTTACTACCTGAACCAAACCATTCACGATTGCCACACAGAGCATCAAGTTGAGCCATGTTGGTGACACTATCTAGTACGATTAGTGCTTTTTTACCACAAAGCCTTTCTTTCATTATAGCTTTCCCGGATTCAATGCAATATAGTGTCAACCTCCTTGATTGTAAAATGTTTGACAAAAGTTGTTCTTGCAGACGAACTAGGCCATTTTCTAGCTCTGAAGCTTCTCTAATGTTTGCAAGGAAGCTTTTAGCCTCAAAATATTGTCCAACTTCATTATAAATGGCTTTGGCAAGGGTTGTTTTGCCAATCCCACCCATACCGAGAATTCCCACCACCATAATCTCATCTGATTTGTCACTTAACATTTGTATGATTTCCTTCATGCGAGATCTCAGCCCTACAGGATGATGTGTGACAAATAGATTTGTGTTGTCGTCAAGGTTCTTGGTGACAGTGTCCATAACACAGTTAATCAGCTCAGCTTCAGTTCTAGCAACAATAATAAGAAATTAGACCAATAAAAATCTACAAAACATTATGTGCAATTTTTAAGCTTGTTGAGAAGTGATCAAATAAAAAAATATGTTTACCCATAACGATGAGAGTAGTCCCATCCAGCTAAATTGGCAACTTCATTGAGTGCTCTTGTCCAATTGAATTTTTGGTCTTTGCTAGCTGAGGTCCTTTTCAAGAGCCTTTTGAATTCACTTCCAAAATCACCGGATTGCTTCCGTACATCTGATGGTTGCACACTGAAGAAAATAGGTAATACCTGTTGTCCAACAGTTCTATGACATTCCATAATTTTTTCCAGTTCTTGCAAGCACCAGCTTGAGCTTGCATATTTGATTGAAAAGATAATGATTGATATTCTTGAACTTTCAATTGCCTGGACCAGTGAAGATGAGATATTGTCTCCCCTTCTGATTTCAGGATCCATGAAAACCTCAAGACCAACCCTTTTCAATGCATCATGAAGATGAGTTGCAAAAGACTTGCGTGTATCATCACCACAGAAACTCAAGAACACATGATAGTTATATTTGGGTTTTGGCTTATTAGGGTTTATTCCCTTTCCAATCTCTTGCAGCAATTCATGCATATGAAGCCTATTATTCATGTCAATTTTTATCAAGCTCCTCTCAACAAGCGTGTTTATTCCAATTTCTAAGGGAAATTGAAGGCCACTTAGTTTTTGTGCAATAGACAATTTCTCATCACCCACATAAAAGTATGCAATAGTAAAGAATAAATCTTTCACCGAGTCATCTAAATACTGACAACTTATTTTAATCTTCTCTTGTATTTGACTTGCAGGGATGCTTTTCAATTTCTTCAATACACATTCCCATTCTTGTGTTGTCTTCCTATACAAAAGAGAGCCAACAACTTCGAGAACTAGTGGTAATCCTTCACAATGAAGAATGACATTTTTTGCAAGGTTAATGAAATCATTGCTTGGGCTAGATTGCTTGAAAGCATTCCAACTCAACTTGAAAGCATGCCAACTCAGAAGTTCAAGAGATTCCCTTTTGTCCATTTTCCTCACTTCATAGACATATTTGACTTTAATGTGATCTAATATATGCTTACTTGTTGACGTAATGAGGATCATACTCCCAAAACCAAACCATTCTCGGCTTCCACACAATGTCACAAGTTGGTCTATATGGTCAACATCATCAAGCACTACAAGTGACCTTCTATTCTGCAGAGCCATCTTTATTTGTCTAATTCCAGTTTCAGTGTCATGTATATTCTCAACTTTTGTGCTAGAAATTTCTGAAATAAGTTGTTCCTGGAGAAGAATTTGACCATTGTCTTTCTTCCATACTTTATTGATACTTGCAAGAAAACTACTGCTCTCAAAATTGCCACTGATTGTATCATAAATAATTCTAGCAATGGTTGATTTGCCAATGCCTACAACTCCACATATGCCTACTATGATCACATTTTCTTCCCTAACAGCTATATCTTTTGAGTAGTATTTGGACAAATGAAGAGCTTTTTTCACCCGATGTTGAATTCGCACTAGATGTGGTGGGATATCCAAGTATGTTGCATCAAGTAATATCTTTATGGAGTGAGTGATTTCTCTTATTCTTCTGTCATACCTATTTGACAAACTAGCTTTTAACATCGCAAGACAAAGTATCTCAATGCAAACACACGTACATCTTACAATATTATAAGTGTTAGGATGTCTGGTGGATTTGGGCTGATGTGGAAAAAGTCTCTAATTGGATAGAATTATTGGCTTAATAAGTAATATATAAAAAAGTGGAAGAATATAAATTCAAGCCTTGAGATTTGAGTTAAGATAGAGAGTCCCTCTAGTACTCTAATAGGGAATAACTGTCCAAAGACAATTGAGAGAAATATACTAAAACATTATCTGTTAATGGTTTCTAATAATCTCTTTAACTAAGAAAGTAATATTTCTAGATTTATCATTAATTATCCGTCTAATTATTAATAATGTAACAGAAGGAAGCTGAAAAGAAAAGTAACAAGAGTTTATTTCAACTTCATTTCTCTTCTTCTAATAGATAGAGTGATGTCAAAGGTATAATTGATGATGAGATTTAATTGAAGGGGAGATCACAATGACAACCCGAGGAGGTGTATTTCGGGTCCTTCAATCTTCACAACGCATTTTTGATGGTGAGAACTATGACTATTGGAATATAAGAATAAGAACCCTCTTAGTCTCACGAGATTCATGGGCATAGTGGAAAATAGATTTTAAGAGAAAGAAGAAATTGATGGTTCAAACAGTCACGCATATTAGATGAAAATCAGAAGAAAGATGCTAAGGCACTTTTTAATTATTATCATGCAGCCCATCTTTGGGGAAAAAAAAAATAATCGAGGATGACAGGGACAATGAGATCGAAAAGGGGGATGGGACATTATGCAAAAGGATTTTCAAGGCACAGAAGGTGAGATTAAAAAAAAAAAAAAGGCTTTTAACTCGTAAGAGAGATGCTCATAATTTGCGAGTGAAAGAAAATGACAAATAAAAAATTTATGCATTTTCGCTTGTCATTTAAGAATTGTCACTTGTGTGAATCCAAGAAAAATCACGTGTGAATATGTGATAAGTTAGTTGTAAATGAATAGTTAGTCTATTATATATGAGTAGATGCATTGTCACTAATTAATTTAAGAACAATAATTATTTGTAAATCTATGAATTAATAATTTTAATTGTAAATTTATGATTTAGCGACCTCTTCCTATTTTTGAATATCTATGTATAACTGATTGTGCATAAATTCACAAGTAACTTTTCTAAATTTCACTAATAATAATGCATAAATTCATGAAATTATCTATCCACTTATAATTGACTTTCCATTTATTTATAAGTGGCATTCCTTAAATTTACTATTAATTTTTATTGAATTCATAGACGTTCCATTGCCTGCATTGTTCATCAGGTGATAATAACAATTTTTTAAGTTATTTGTTTTTTAACTATACAAATAAGGACAATGATCCTTCTATATCATTTCAATAATTCAAGGTCTTATATTATCATTAATGTCTCCAAAAGGTCCTTATTTGTCATTTTTCTGAAATTCTAAAGTGGTATTTGGATAGATAAATTTGGTTTTTAGATTTAAAACATCACATCTAAATTCATGTTTTTCAAATCCTTTGTTGAGTAGTATTAATCTTTTAATGACTAGATGAAATGGTCGGATTGGTAAAAATATAAACTAAAGAAGTTAATGCCTTAGTTTAGACCCAAAAATGGTTTTCTTGGTTGAGTCAGGTTGAATTGGAGTTGAGTCACCATTAAACTAGAAACCAAAATTGTTTTTAGAAAAATCAAATAGGTCTAAACCTAATATAAAAATGGATGAAAATTTTTCAAAAATTTGACCTTAGCTACTAAAAGCCAACTTTATCTTTGGAACCTACATCCTGCATATAATATGATTTGGGATCATTTTTCTGTGAAGATGTGTTGACAACTATGGGTGCAAATCCATATATTTTAAATTAGCTTGCTTTATTTGGCTAATTTAATCAAGATTCACCTATACTTAAAATGTTTTGTACAATTTATAATAGGATTAAGGATTATTTTTGCCTTTTATATTATACGTGAAAGGTGACAAATAATCCTAAAATAAATTATCGGTCATTTATATCTCTTAACCTTAGATTCCATTTTCCTTCACCCTGCCATTTGTTGATTGTTTTTTTTGACTATTTGTTGCTTTGTACGGTCCACAATTTGAATTTTTCAATATTTTTATTATAAAATATCCAATAGTGGGTCCCACCATTTTTATATTTTTTATAATATAAAAAATTACTCTCTCCCTCGCTCCTCTACTTTCTCTCTCCCCCTCCCGTTTCTCGTAGAGGCTAAGGGCATCTAATGTGCCCTTCTCTAATGTCCCTTTTAATGTCCCAACGTTCCAATTTTATTTTTTTATTTTTCTTTGGATTATTGGATTTTACATAAAATAAGAGACATTTGGATATCTTGATGTTTTAAATCAATGAAGATTTGTATTTTTATGATTTTTTTAAAGAAAAATATCACAAATACACCATTTTATTTTTAAAAAATTATAAAAATACAAATTTTTACCGTTTTGGAACATCAAGATATCCAAATATCTTTTATTTTATTTAAAAGCCAATGATCTAAAGAAAAATGAAAAACGAAATTGGAACGTTGGAACATTACAAGGGGTATTAGAGAAGGGCACATTAGAGGCCCCTAATAATTCTCTTAGCTGAAGTGCCAAAACGCACAAGCTGTCTTCTCCTCTTCTTCCTCCTTTGCCTTGCATCTCCCTCTTCTAGCTTTGCCTCCTAGATCCTCATCTTGGTCCTCCCTTCCAATGTGATTTGACTCCTGTCCTTCAAATCCAAAGTCGACCAAGGCAACAAGCTCCTCTATGCCCTCAACTACTATTAGTGGCATGGCATCAAATGTGCCCAAAGTCGACTCGTTCACTTCATCCTCTAGAACTTTAGCTTTTGTGGCTTCTTCCCTTCCAATACCTTATCTTGTCTCGACTAGCTCCGTGTCCTCAACCTCCACAGCAACTCCTTCTTTGGTCTAAGGCTGAGTAGCCTTGCCAAAGAAGGCCAAACTGGGGTTGACTTTTACCAAACTGACTTTTGCCAAATGAACTTTTATCAACCTGACTTTTGACAAACTAAAAACCAAACACACACTTAGCGTTTCAATGTCGTTGCCTTTATGCAGCAACTCCTCTTTTTTTACCTTCACTCCGCCAACCACATGGGATCGAAAACTACCTTCTATTACAACTCATGATCATTATCTCTTTGTCCACCACTCTCATCTAAATTGCCCTAGGAGCTTCCTGGTTAGGTTCATGTGATCTATCAACATAGTTCAACAAGAGAGAGAGATAGAGAGAGGAGGGAGGGAGAGAGAAAATGTCTCTAAGTGATGCATGCATGAAGGTGGAGAAAGGGAAGCGACATGTCACTAGAGACGTTCTCATCATTTTCATCACCTCCACTCCAAGCCCATTTTCCTCATCAATTATGCCTACTTCAAGCCTCCAAAGTGCAAAGGATCTGAATGAGGTTGAGTGAAGAGAAAGGGAGAATGTGTGTAATAGCTGCTGGATGTTGTTTGTGGATGGGTATAGGAAGGATGGGAAACAGATATATGACTCCATCTTCACTGAATCAAAGCATTGAGGGTGAAGAGATTCTGAAGTTTTGAAGGATTTTGTTGGTATGAAGATAGAAGGAAAGGGATGGAGTCTAGGAGACATGGGTTTGCTAAGAGAGAAAGTGGGGAGGAGAGAGAGACAAAAGAGAAGGAGAGGGAGAGTGAGAGAGAGGGGAAAGAAGGATGGCAAGAGAGGAGATAGATGAAAGCACAAGAGAGAGAAATGGGAGAGGGGAGAGGAAGATGAAGTAGGACCTTTGAAACTAAAAGAATAATAAAAATATTAAGAAATAGTGAGACCCAAATGGTCGTTAGGTTTTTTAACATGGGTGTGATGAAGGAGGGAATTTTTGAGGTTGAGGAATATAAATGATGCTCAGGGTCATTTTTGACTTTTCGTGTATAGTTCAAAAGCAAAAATAATCCTTAACCCTTTTATAATATTATTAATTTATGGTTATGTTGTATTATTTTATAACAACTATGTATATTTATTTCTATATATATATATATATATACGTATTATATGTAATTAATGTTATTTTTCTTTAATTATTATGTCATCGATTGATTGCCTATTTAACTAGTTAGATCATAAAAGCAACAATGACTTGCTAACCTTTTCAGTTTAACATCCAATCTAGCTTCTAAAAAATTTGGTAGTATAAAAAAATCCATACCAACATGAATATGTTGTCCTACTTTGTGTGACTTGATAACGCTTAAGAATAGAAACAATTAGACTAAATTAGGCATTTGAAATTCTAAAGGAGTTGTAATAAAAGATTTGGTCCAAATCTAAATTTACCGGAGATTATTTTTGTATGGTTAATTATGGAGTTAGTAAATCAAATTTGGAGTTTGGGAGAGAAAATTCAAATGATAAAACAAGAAAGCTTAACCTGGCTTCAAAATATAACACTACACACACACACACACACACACACACACTCACCTGCAACAATTGGATGAGATTGAACAACTGGACAGCGACGTAGCTTCAGTAAAGGCACTTCTCCATCGGAAAAATTCACGTTTCTGCAGATCTCCTCTGCTCATTAATTCTGCAATACTACCCACCTCTTGACGTACATCTGATAGACTCACTCCACAATATATTGGCAACACGTTCTTGCCCATATTTTTGTGCCAATTTATTATTATGTCGATTTTATCCAGGCAATATCTGGAAGCACCAAAGTGCTTCGTCAAAACCAAGATAACAATTCTGGACTGCTCAATGGCTTCCAACAACCTTGGCGAGATTTCCTCGTCCTGGTCTATGAATGTTCTGATTGCAGCATCCCTTAAAGAGGTTTCGAGAGAAGCTATGGTTTTACATCTAGTTTGGTAAGTCAAGAAGACATCGTAAAGACGTTCTTCGTTTGATGACGCTGAAGGATTGGGGCTTGATAATGGTGAAGAAGAAGAAGAAGAAGCCATGGAGGACATATGGATTACTGTTTCAGATGAAACAGGCTAAGAGAGAATTGGTTTGTGCTATGTTAATTAGTATAGGTTCGTCAAGGCAAGGGGAAAACAAAAGCAAATTTTTATATTGTTATTTATTTAACACGCTATTATAAAGTAATCAAATAATCATATTGTCGTCTTCTAATAGTCTGTTGTCACAAAATATCATTAACAAAATGTTGGTTGACTTGATCTATTAAAAGTTTTAAGGCTTAAGCCACCGACTATTTGATTGTTGAATCTTATTATGTATGATTAGTTGAGCCTTTCGAACATCATTTATCTTCCTTTCTTCATAATACCCCTCAATTCTTAATATGTATACAAACTTAGCTTATTCTTAATATATATATATATATATATATATTATTTGACATATTTCTATGAGTTATTATTTGAGGAGTCATCATTTGCATTTGATGTGAAAATTGTTATATTATCAAGTAATATCTGAGCTTTTAGCATTTGGGAGATTTGTAGTGAAATATAATATCGTGAAAATTTAGTGAATTATTGGTTCAATATACTCCACACCATTGCTTTATTTGTAATTAAACAATATTATTTGTGTAGATAATAATTTTAAAAAATTCATCATGATTAATTTTGAGTTAGATTATAATTATTTTATTCAAATATATATTATAAACCACTATAAATATTTGAAATATTTTAATTAAAACAAGCGAGCTGTCTCTAAACAGGTATATATCCAGAATAAACTAAGGACAAATGGAGTCTCACTACATTTGAACAACCTATGTTTAATGGACGGCCATTTTGGTATCACCTAAGAAATATTATTCCATCAGAATTAATTAGTTAATGTATTTAGAGATATTTATGAATACAACATTGTAATTAAGAACCCAAGAAAGACATGGATTGGTTCTGTCGTTGCCTAGGAAGGTTCCCACAGGCAAGTGAGAGTGATGGGTTTCTCAATTTAGTCGGACGGAAGAAGACAAAATGGTCCCCACCTTCTAACTTTAATTGGAATAGCGTATCGATAAAAGAGTTGAGCTTCGCTTTTGCCTTTGAAGTGACAGGCAAGGGACACCTGGCTAGCATTTTAAACTTGATTTTTGGTCATTCCTCCTAAACGATTAAAAATAAATTAAACCAATTTTGTCTCTGCTATCTATTTACTTTGATCATTAAGTCATTTTATTTGACTATATGCATTTGCATGGCAAAGTTGGCATAAATAATACAAGTTTAAAAGTCAATTCTGCCCTTGAAGTATTAGCTGAGGAATGTCTGATGTTTTAAATTTAATTTTTTTACTATTTTTCACTAAACTTTAAAAACCGACCAATTTTGCTTTTACTATTTACTTTGATCATTAAGTCATTTTATTTGATCATGTACATTCATGTAGTATTCACATAGGTATAAAGGTTATTTTTGCTCTCAAAGCATAAGTCAAGAGACGCTTAGTGTTCTAAACTCCATTTTTGATTATTTCCTCTCTTAAAAGTTTTAAAATAGATCAAATTTTTTTCCCCATTGACTTTGACTGCTATGTCATTTTATTTGATCAATGACATCCACGTGGCACTCCATGTCCACCACGTGAGATATTGCTGATGGTTTGAGTGACATGGTGGACAAGGCAATTGGAGCGCGCAAAGGGTCCTGTGATGACGACATATATCATGCCAATCTTTCATTGTTCACATCCATTCTTGCTGATTTCTAGGCCATACATGCCATGGCCATTGATTCTTGCTGCTTGACAGCTTCTCACAACAACAATAATGGCTTTTACTACTTTGCTTCTAATGATGATTTCAATGAAATTTATGCCAATTCTATTGCTTCTACTATATTGTTGAGATTATTGTTCTCTTTTTTTTCATTCCCCTTTTGCCAACATGGATGTCAAGTGGAGAGCCATGTTGTCATTTTTGGTCAAATAAAATGACTTAATGGTCAAATTTAATATAGCAAGGGAAAAATTGATCAATTTTTAAATGTTTAGGGAGGGAGTAACCAAAACTTGAGTTTAGGACACCAAGAGTCCTTCAACTAATATTTTGAGGACAAAAGTAACATTTAACTCTATTTTTTTATGCCAACATAGATATATAACATGTGAAGTGCCATGTGAATGTACATGGTCAAATAAAATGACTAAACTGTGAAAGTAAAAAGCGGGGGCAAATTTGGTCCATTTTTAAACATTTAGGGAGGGAATGTCTAAAACTCAAATTTAGGAAACCAGATGTTGCTTGGCTAATACTTTGAGGACATTAGTGTCCTTTAATGCTTCTATAAAATTCAAAAGGATCATACCATCCACGACAAGTTAATGCCTTGAACAGATCTATTTTTCCTTAATAGATATATATTTATTTATAGTTAAAAGGTTTTAGAATAATCAATTTCAAGAACATAAAATAAAATAAAATAAAAAACTGATCAAGCAATATTTGTTCAAAATACTTACCGATCTTTGATTATTATAAAGAGCATCGTTTCATGGCCTATATTAAAAAAAAATCATTAATTATTTATATATGACTGCATCAAAAGTTTTCATTTTCTTGGATTTTTAATATTATTATTAAGGAGAATTACTTTAAGATTTCACTCAAAATAATTAATTAATCCCAATTTCATGGTAATTGAGCTTAGGAGAATGTGTGTTGTCATCATTCTCTTAAGCTCAGTTATTAATGGACTTGAACATATCTTTAATGAGACTTGTGTGTAATTTTTCCTTCTATTATTATCATTATTATCATTATTATTATTTTAAATGAAGTTCGTAGGCAAGTTTCAAAATCACATTAATTACGGAGTAATTGCTTTTTATGTAATAAAGTATTTACCGTGTGACTGTAAATGATATTAATTAAAAATTAAAGTTGGAGTCAAGACAAATGGCCTGACGGGGTGGCTTATTATAATATAGAGATCAACCCTACCATGAGGGAAATATATATCGAAGAATTCAAATTCTCTTATCATAGCTTTCATAAATAAGTAGTTTGCCGATTATTATAACCAAATTATATAATTAATTAAGTTGGAGTGGATAATGATATATAGTACTTGAAGGGGAAAAAAATGATATGATTCTTTTCCCAAACAGATGCCCCCAAAATGGCCATCTATCAAACAAATAGGTCTTTGGGGCAAAGAAAGCCGACGACACTTTTGAAACGTTAATTTTGTACTGACGAATAGCAACGTATTGATATATCTATTATATTGGAGTATAAGTAATTTCGGTGAAGGAGAGGAGGGATATTATAATGAATTTCAACGAGGTAGCTTAAACTATTTTGATAATTTTGGTACAATAGAGAGCTACTATATCAGCATGTATATAATTTAAAATAATATTAAATATATCATTGTAATATATGAAAGTAAAATAAAAATTATTTTTATTTAATCATTTATTATTAGGATGTCCAAGTATGAGTAGATTTAAGCCAATGTAAAAAATCTCATCTTAGATAAAATTAAGCTTAATAAATAATATATAGTAAAGTGGAAGGACTAATCATAAACTTGAGTTTGAAATTTTAAATTGAGATATGGTATCAATATCATTCACTTCTTAACAGCCTTTACTTGTGAAAAAATAGGAGGAGAATCAACAGAAATACTCAGCATTTGAATAGGCTAATTATTGAAGTAGTGCAAATAGCTAGTCACATGAATAATGGATTGTTTCGAAACTCTATGAATCATACTAGAAAACAAAAATGTCAGTTTGAACTGAATGTTTAATTCTAGCTCAGGTGCTCAACTGGATGGATGAAGGGCCGGCATTCACGTGTGAAATAGCGGTGTCCCTCCATTGAGCACTAAAAAAAAAAAAAAAACGAATTAGTGGTAGAATTTATCAACAGAATAAATTTCTGTCGCTAATTCTGTTGCTAAAATAGCAATGGAATATTTCTTGGCTAAAATTCTATCATTAATCCATCACTAGTCTGTCAAAAATAATTTAATGACAGAATTTACCAACAAAAAATTCCATCACTAATTTTCAAGATATCTTATTTCAACTTAGTGATGGAATTTGTGATAGAACATTTCATCACAAAGCTTTTTATCATAATTCTGCTGATAATTCTGTCACAAATTACTTTAGTTTTATTTTATTATTATAATATATATTTATATATAATTTAGTATTATGCTATAAATAAATAATTTAAAAATTATAATTTTAAATAATTTTCTACTTTAAATTATTTCATATATTAATAATAATAATAATTTAAATTGTATACTTAATTCTTCTTAGAAAAAAAAAAAATATTATATATAAAAATTTAAAAATTTGCATATTATGTAGATACAAATTATAATATAATAGATAACGATAATAAAATATTTTTTAATTTAATATTAATTTTTATTATCAAAAATATTTTTTTAAAATAAATATAAAAAATAATTATTACATATAAATTAATTTTACCATATTAATAATAAATATAATGTTGAAAAATACGTAAATTTAAATGATATATTTATTAATATATGTGTGTGGGGTTAAATATTATATTTTAAATAATTTTTAAAATAAAATATAATAAAAATAATTATTATATATAAATTAATTTTACCATATTAATAAATAAATATAATGTTAAAAGTAAGTAAATTTAAATAATATATTTATTAATATATATGTGTCTGGTGAAATATTATATATTTAATTTGTCAATTAAATTTGAAGATTTATCTCAACTCAATTGGCAATAAGAAGGAAGCAAAGGCATTAGGAGATGTGATGAAGCGGTGGTGAGGTGGCATTTGATCCACTGGGTGATATGGTAATGATATTTTTGTTAGCCTACAAATTTACGATGGGAGTAGTGATTGAATAAGTACGTTGAAAAATTTGCGACGAATTAGTGACAAAATGTACTCCATCACAAAGTTAAAAATGGCTTATCCTTGTTTAGTGATGAAAGTTTTTTGTCATTATTTCATTGCTA